GGGGGGGGGGAGAAATTGGCCATTTTTGCAATTTTTCCCGTTCCCCAACGGTCATTTCTCAATTTGACCGTTGGGAATGGTTCAATTAAATTAAAAAAAATTCCAACAGTAACCGGGCTGCTAACGGGTTGCAGCCCGTGTTCAGCCCGTTAAGACATTTCGGGTTCAACGGGTTAGAGCCACCGTTAAGCTAAACATGAACGTCCACAACCTGCCCTCCTAAACAACCCGTCCCAACCCGTCCATTAATGAACATTAGTGGGCTGAACCGAGCTGACCCGAGTTGAAGCGGGCTGAAAACGGATCCGCCCGGCCTGATTAACACCCTTAATCCAGGCTGATTAAATAGTACGGGGTACCGCTAACAGTAGACATATTGAATTATGTGCGAAGTCAATTCCGTGTTTCTCATCCTGACTCTTGTGGCATCTCATCTCCTTCTTCAATCTATCTTCTCATCCCAATCTTTATCTTTATCCTTACTCCTTAGGTACTTGTTATCTTAGTAGTTTTCATTGTAATTCAGTACCTTGAGAGTTATAATTAGTGTTCATATTCTTATTAATATAGTGAGTAGTTTTCCCATTGTTACATTGGTGCTTTCATCCATCGGACTCCAATGGAGGTATTAGATCGATTTAATGGCAACGGCAACGCATTGAGCTGGCTTTTTTGTGCCGAGCGGTACTTCACCTATCTTGGCTTCGTGGAGAAGGATTGGTTACCACTTCCCCCCTTTTATCTTGATGGTGAAGCTCTTACTTGGTTCAATTGGTTGTTTCGCAATAAGCAATTCCACGATTGGAAGAATTTCAAGGAGGAAGATGAGGTGCTCAATGAAAGTCCTCATAGCATTTCATTCGGGGAGATAAGGCCAAGTGCAACTCGGGTATTACTCCTTTTTTCTTTTGCTGGCTGAGAATATGCAGTGTCAAATAAACATCTTGAACGTGATATGCCAACGAGGTACGTAGATGCTAACTCTCTTGATACCAGTGGCACTTCTAAATGTCTGACTGATTTGGTGACCTTTGATGAGGTGTATCTTTCTAGTTTTTCATGGAACCTGCAATTATTGCTGATCGATATTTTGCACAAATTTTTTTTGATTAATGGATGCGCTAGTCCTACAAGTGCAATGCATTTGGTTGAAGTACTTTTTGAAGGTAAAAATGGAAAATCTATTGGGAGATTCACTGATCAACATATTTTGCGTCAATTTTCATTTGATCCTGGTGCAAATATCTTTATTATAACCATTAGCCTAACTGCATCACATCTTTGTTTATGGGATCGGGGAGTAAGTTCCGAGTTCATGGCTTTAACAAGTTCTACAGAGAACGTGGAGGCGCATACACTATTTGACGCAATTGGAAAAAGATGGAGCTGTTTATTTGCAAAATTTTCTGATTGGGAGCAGTTAGGTGGAGTTGAATTCGGTGTTGCGGCCTTTTATTCCATGTATCTTGATATATGTTTTCGGGTGTCTGAGAATATTGAGGATCCACATCTTGATAAATTTTTTAGGGAGTTTGAGTATGGCCTTCCAGTAAAAGAACATGCTCTAGTTCATAAAATAGTGTTTTCTTCTCTGTATATTGTCTTTGATCCTGGTGAGGTTAATAATTCTCTTTGTACAACGAGCAAGCAGCTTCTGATTCAACTAATGAAAGATTTAACTACAGAACATTATGACACCACACAATAGTACATGAAGATGCAGGTTGCAGTAGCTGCACTTGTTGTTGTGTTACAGGAGTGGAAAGTATTTGAATTGAGGAATGGATATGAGGTGAAGCTTCGAGCAATACAGGGTATTGGTTATACATTTTCTGGTATCATTGAAGTGGTAGAGTTGGTTTCACGTCATAGGTTACATCATGGCCTAGGCGATGCATTAATTTATGGTATTCTCTTGAACAAGTATGGGTTTGTAGGGCAGGTTATAACTAAACATAATCTGATAATGCGGCAGAGTTCTAATCTAGATCGAAATGGTTATAGTTGGTTGATAGCAGGTGCAATGGAAATATTTAGTGGAGAGTGCGCTTCTAAAACAGTTTACCAGTTCTTTAAGGCGGATAATTCTAGCTTCGACGGGTGTGAGCATGTTAAGGAATTAACACAAGAATCCATGGTTATAGGTCTTGCTATGCATACTTGTACAGAGGTTGAATTTGAGAACATATCTTCAATTTCTAGTTCTGGTTGGTACAGTATTGATGCGCTATCTTGCCTGTTTTGGTGGTCATAGAACCATTGGACGGCGGGCTGTGGAACAATAAGCTTTGGAGTCATATCCAGTTCTTGATGCATTTGGCAGTACCAAAATAGTTATAAATACCAACTTAAACAATCGAAGTGAATTTGTGGAGATTCAGTTTGTTCGAAATGGAAGAACAACTGATGTAGCACCCAAGGGGTATCCAGAATCATTTCACCATCTCAGTCATTTAAATTTCTATGAACTCCTAGCTGTTGGTGTTGCTCGGAATACTTTTGAGACAAGGATGGCTATGAAAATTATTGGTATTAGCAAGAAAGAGCAGGAGGCAATTTTAAGAGTTATGACATTTGTTCTTCATCTTGTTGCCCGTGACACACATTCGTGCCTCGCCAAACTCGCCATTATGATATCAGTGTTGCTCTGTTCGAACCTTGAGGACAAGGTTCTTATTGAGGTCGGGAGTATTGTTATGAATCGGCTCCAACCCAATATGGAGACCAACATGGATGACACACAAATAGACATTGGGCCGAGAAGAAGCAATTGGGCCAGGCCTTCACAAAGTTTAATATGGGATCCATGCTGATTAAATAGTACGGGTTACTGCTATCAGTAGGCATGTTGAATTATGTGTGAAGGCAATTCCGTGTTTCTCATCCTGATTCTTCTAGCATCTCATCTCCTTCTTCAATCTATCTTCTCATCCCAATCCTTATCTCTATCCTTACTCTTTAGTTACTTGTTATCTCAGTAATTTTCATTGTAATTCAGTACCTTGAGAATTATAATCAGTGTTCATATTCTTATTAATATAGTGAGGAGTTTCACCATTGTTACACTAAGCTTGGATAGCAGATACACAGAAATTAAATTAAGAGTGATTTTTAGTTGTTGAACTAAAACTTACTATTCCATGGGTGTGTTTGGTATAACGGAAAATGTTTTCTAAAAAAATATTTTCTTGAAAAACAAGTAGTAATTTTATTCATTTTTCAGTGTTTGGTACGAAAATTAAGGAAAATGACTTTGCCACGACCCTAAACCTGGACCCGCTCGTGATGGCGCCTATCGTAAAGCAAGGTCAGCCGACACAAATCTTCAATCCATTTAAACAGTTATAATAATTCAATTTAAGTCATTAATAAGTAATAAATCAAAAAATTAAGTGAAATAGAACAAGTGCGGAAATAGATACTGCCCGACATCGGGGTGTCACCAGTCATGAGCATCTAAACAACCGTCTAAAAGTAGGAAGAGTCTATGTAGTCTACTACAAATCCAGTACAAATAAAAATAAAGATAGGAAGGAGAAGCACTGGGCTACGAACACCGAGCAACTACCTAGTGAACTCCGAACAGTCTGTTGGAAGCAATCAACCCTCACTAGCAGGACTCGAGGCTCCTAAATCTGCACACAGGGTGCAGGGAGTAATGTGAGTACGCCAACTCAGTGAGTAATAAAACTAAAAGCAGTTGAGCGATAAGAAAACACGTAAAACACAACACAATGCTACAAATAGGCAGTATAAAACCAGAACAATGCAATAAAACAGTTAAAGCTCGTAGAAACACCATAGTTCAGTAAAACCCTCTTTAAAACACCTTTTAGCAGTTCAAACGAATGAATGAAAACAGGGAGAAAGGATAGAAACATAAATCAGCCCCTCATGCAAAATACCAACAGAACCAACCCCTCGGGAAATAACATGGCACAACATCAACCCCTCGGGCTATATCACATCTCACACTGGGTACCCGCACTCACTGGGGGTGTACAGACTTTGGGAGCGGCCCCTTACGGCCCAAGCGCAATAACAAGTCATCTCGTGGCATAATTAAGGCTCTTGGCCTCATATCAAGCCACCTTGTGGCGTACAACTCAGGCTCTCGGTCTCATAACCATGAATCAGCACAATACTGCTATGGCGCGTAGCCCGATACCATAATAACCTCACGGCACAGGCCCTTGACCCTACTTAGTCAGAAATATCTAAAAGCCACTCAGGCACAGTAAAATATGATACTCAGCTCAAAATATCATTTAAGATGTCAAAATAGAGTAAACATGGCTGAGTTATGAAAATAATAGAATATAGCATGACCGAGTACAAATATAAAGTCAAAACAGTGAGGAATAGTGGTAAAAATCCCTGAAGGATCCAAAACAGTTGGCACGAGCCCTAAATATGGAATTTAGCCCAAAACATGATGATAACAAACAGTTTTCAATCAAATACGCAGTAAAACAGTTATACGGGACGGACTAAGTCACGATCCCCAACTGTGCACAACCCACGCTCGTCATCTAGCGTGTGCGTCACCTCAAAATAGCACAACGATATGAAATCCGGGGTTTGATACCCTCGGGATAATATATACAATCATTACTCACCCCTATCCGGTTCAAACTCTAGCACGCGATGCCTTTGCCTCTCGAATCGGCCTCCGAATGTTCCAATCTAACCAAAATCAGTATATAACCATCAAAATATGTTAAGGGAACAAAGCCCACTCAAAAGCAATCAAATTATAACACAAATCTCGAAATTGACCAAACCTGACCCCTGGGCCCGCATCTCGGAATCTGACAAAAATTACATCAATAGACTTGTTGTCTTCCCACAAGTTCATACATATCAAATACATCAAAATCCGACCACAAATAACCCCTCAAATCCCTAGATTTAGGTTTCCAATTTTCAAGCCCTAACTTCCAATTTTTAGGCTTAAATTCCACAAATTCCATGATTAATTAGGTAAAAATTACATTAGAATTGAGTATTAAGTCCATAAATCTTACCTCCAAGTGTTTCCCCCTTGATTCCCTCTTCAATCTTCCTCAAAAAGCTCTAAAACCGCCCAACAATAGTGAACTTAGGCTAAAAATCGTGCAATTGGTCCTTTAAATCATTCTGCCCAGCTATTCAAAATTCTTCTTCGCGAACGCAGTCAACGCCTCGCGTTCGCGAAGCACAAACTTAAGTTGACCATATTTTCTTTCATCGCGAACAAGACCCCATGCACGCGAACGCGAAGCCTTAGCTTCATAACTCATCATGAACGCGACTCTGCACCTGCAAATACGAAGAACAAACCCTCCAGGACCCCTTCTGCTCACTTACCTCTACGCGAACGTGGCAAGAACCTCGCGAACGCGATGACCACGAGCCTTAACCCTTCGCAAATGCGAGACCACCTTCGCGAAAGCGAAGGTCAACTTCCCAGCCTCACATCTCAACCCTTCGCGAACGCGAGACATGCATCGCGAATGTAAAGGTCAAAAACTTGCAACACCAACATCAGTTTTTCTGCAATTTCCTCCAAGGTGAAATGGTCCGTTTAACCACCCGAAACTCACCCGAGGCCCTCGGGACCTCTACCAAATATGCCAACATACCCCATAACATCATTCAAACTTATTTGAACCTTTGAAACACTCAAAACAACATCAAAACACCAAATTTGCATCGGATTCTAGCCTAAGAATTCCAAAAACTCCAAAATCCGCTCTCGATCAAAAAGTCTACCAAACCACGCCCAAATGACTGAAATTTTGCACACACATCCCAAATGACACAACGGACCTACTTCAACTCCCGGAATTCCATTCCGACCTATATATCAAAATCTCACCTACCAATCGAAAAATGCCAAAATTCCAATTTCGCCAATCCAAGCCTAACTCTACTCCGTACCTCCAAAATACATTCCGATCACGCTCCTAAGTCCCAAATCACTTTTTGAAGCTATCCGAACCATCGGAACTCACATCCGAGCCCTTTTTCACATAAGTCAATATCCGGTTGACTTTTTCAACTTAAGCTTACTCAAAAGAGACTAAGTGTCTAAAACCTTACCAAAACTTCTCCGAACCTGAGCCAACCAACCCGATAACACATAATACAGCTGAACAAGATAATAAGAAGTAGAAATGGAAAAAACGAAGCGATAACACATGAAATGACCGGCCGGGTCATTACAGACTTCTCAAGAGTATTCATAAATAATTTAGATATAATAAACATGAAGCCATAAACTTTCAAACTAACAACCTTCCGAACCCACAAATTTCATAAATTTTCAAACCGCTAAACTTTCAAAATTGCAAAATTTCGAATCTGTAAGCTTTATAATTTCTAAACCCGTAAACTTCCACACATAAACTTCTGAACTCATAATTTTGGAACTTGTAAATTTTGAACCTTTAATCGATAAATAAAAAAATTAAAACTGAAAAATATATTTAAAAAATATTTTTTTTCGGGGTGGGGGNGAAACATTTAAGGTAAAAAATAATTTTTTTATGGTGAGGGTGGGGTGGGGTGGTGGGGTAGTAGGGTGGGTGGTAACGGAAAAACTGAAATTTGAAAAAAAAGCCTTTTTGGAGAGGGGGTGGGGTGGTGTCACGGCCCTAAACCCGGACCTGACCATGATGGCGCCTCTCGTGAAGACAAGGCCAACCGACATTTTCCATATCCAATTATTAACAATTAAACCATAAGAAATAAATCTAAAGCATGATAAGATAATCCAAAGTTAACAGATAACAACATAATTCGCGAAAAATAACCCAACACAACCCGAAACCGGGGTGTCACTAGTCATGAGCATCTAAACAATCCGGAATACTCCAAATCAAACTACAGAGTTTAATACAGAAAACCAAGAACTGTCACACCTCCTTTTTCACTACACCCCCGGAAGGGGAGTATAAGGGAGCTTTTTCCAACTTAAAGTGACAATCGAAACAGGATTATTTTATTAAAAATTCAGAGTCGCCACTTGGGATAATTTATGGTGTCCCAAGTCACCGATTTCAAATCCCGAATCGAGGAAAGATTGACTCTGTTTTACAGTCCGTGAACACAGAAATCTGGGTAAGGAATTCTGTTAACCCGGGAGAAGGTGTTAGGCATTCTTGAGTTCCGTGGTTCTAGCACGGTTGCTCAACTGTTATAATTGGCCTATTATCTGATTTTAATACATGTTTTTAGCCTATGTGCATTTTAACTTTAGAACCGTTTTTAATTATTTTAAGGAAGATTTCAACGTCATCTAAAATACATCTTGAACCACGTCACATAAATGCACCCGCGGTCCACGACACATTTTATTTAACGTTGTTGAGATTTGGATTTGGGTAACATAAATGCTCACCCGAGTTTAGGAAGTAATTTTTTAAGTAGCGCACTTAAAGCAACTACGCACTTTAGAGTTTGCGAGGGCCATGGAAAATTCAACTAATGGCACACCTCGATTCTAATTTCAAAAGATTGTACTTAACTAAAGCAAACTACGGATATTCATATTTAAACTAATTTGAAATCTGGCGTCACAACTACATTACGGGAACCAAACCCGTAATTACGATGAATTAATTATGTGCCTAAAAGCAAACTACGAAGACTCATGCTTATTTTCCTAAACAAACTACCCAAGGTCACGATACTTTTCCCAGGCGTTCATGTACTACTGCTAAATTCTCTGGCACCTACCATGGATGCATACGACAGTATTTAAAATTGCTCTGCCTAGATACAAGCAACTAAACTACAATGCCCGATTTCAGTTAGACCTCATTCTGATTTATGAGCTTAGACCAAAGGGTCCTAATTATGTATTCATTTTTTCAAAGAAGAAGAACAAAGATATTAGAATAGAATAAATAAATAAATAGCAGCACATTTAGTTATATCTTATGAAATTAGGAACTCAACATTAATAACTAACATCACCTATCTAGAGAAACATTTCAACAGAGAAATAATAAACGCCACAACATTAGCGTCCAAACGACGGATCCAAATAAT